ATTACTTCCCTCAGAGACACTATGCAGCATATTCAGGTTTGCACTGGAGGACATCATCGAAGATGATATGAAGACAACTGCTGAAGCAGAGCACCGGGTTATAGCAGGAGGCTTGCCATTTCCTCACACTATGGCATCAGTATGCAGACAATGGCGAGACGTCATTTCTTCTGCACCTGAGCTCTGGACTCGTATCTTTTGCGTGATGCCGAATAAGAGCAGACGTCAGACCTTGACAGATCTGACTTCTCAGCTTCAAAAGGCGCATGGTTATCCAGTTCATCTGACTATAGTCAACAAGCACAACCATCTCAAGCAAAAGGAAGTTCCTCGTATCCTCAACTTCATCGCTCTGCATATTGGACAGCTGAAGAGTTTGCGCATTCGTAACTTTTATGGCCTATACATCAAAGAATATTGCGACACATTAGCAGGACATGCGCCCCAACTAGAATGTTTACAAGTGACGGGCCCGAAAATCTTGGGGTGTTGGACAACTCGCGAGCACCTACCACCACTTTTCAAACTCGACTGTCCCACCCTCAGAATCCTTCATATCGATCATAAAGTAGCTCACAGTCTTGATCACCAGTGGCTCAAGAACAATTTGACAAACGTCGAGTCCGTGACGCTATCATTTGGAGATGAACTTCCGTGCTATGGCCCTTCATATTCAGTACCAGACGATGTTCCAAAAGCGCTGAATGCAGTCCCAGGAAGAATACCTTGCCTCATTATCGACGGCTTGCAATTTCCGTTCCAGACCATCTCACGGATCAAACGCGAAGGCCTCCAAATCGGGGCGGAGAAAGTGGTCGTGCGTGGGTGCATGAAGGTTTTGGCTATAGTCGATGACCATTGCAAGACGATCGTCATTCGCGACTGTGAAGTCGTGGAAGATCCGCGCATCAGAAGGTTTCCCTCGTCAGATACGCTAGAGTTTGATGAGTGCTTCGGCAGCAGTTTGGAAATGGCGCCTCTGACCCCTTCATGGAATGGCGATACGGTGACGATCACAAACAGCAACTCGCTTTGTATGAAAGCTATTTTTGTGCTCCTGGGTGCACCTTTCAAGGACTCTAGTTGTTCCCTGTGGCCACGCGTCACCACGCTCAAGCTCGTAGCCAATGGTGATTTCATCTTGAGATTCCCGTTCAAGATGCTGAAAGCGATGATAAGTAGTCGGAGGGAGGCTGCGGGACAGGAGAACCTGGGAAAGAATGACGTAGAGTTGGATGCTATTGGATTCAAAGGGGTCCGTCCGATTATGGTGCTTCATGTGCATGGGGGGCACGGTCTGTTGCGCAAGGAGAGAGAGTGGTTTGAGGAACAGGTGAGAGACTTTGTTTGGGATTGTAAGAAGAGGTAAAAGAATGGGTGATCGAGGTGGTTTCCTCGGCAGAAACGTAGGGAGACTAGTACGGCTTTTTTGTCGATAGCCAATCCTACTGACTAATTAGTCTAGATAGCCATACTAGCGCCCATGTCTGAATCTTTTGCTTTGTCACGATTATCTGACAAAGTTTTTAATCATCTAAAGGCAGTCCTGATCCTTGGGCGCTAGGAAAATGGTGTGCCACTGCTGCGACTGCTGCGGTATTTGCCCCTCCAAACTTTATCGATAAGCACTCTCAGTACTCAGTGGTAGGTTTCAGTGATTAGCGCTTAGCAGTAAGTGTAGTTACATAATACACACTCAACACCATTTGGGAGCACCGCAGCAGTGGCACAGCATTTCACGATGAATCATCTGAAGGCAGTCCTGATCGATGATCCTTGATTTTTCAAGTACTCGTATTATTACGTTCACTTGCGTTCACTTCAAAATTGGTCTCGCCTCTAGGATACTATGCGTGCGACTACAGGTCAAGGTGTAAGCCTGTGATTTTCGAAGACGCACGAGTTGTGACTCGAGCTCGGAACTGAGGTGACTCGGACAGGTCACGATCGGTACCGTCAAGCAAAGTTCTCTGCTGTGGGAAATCCGACGCCCAGAAAACCCTTTGATCATTTCATGACTGTTGCACTGACGGCAGCAGGTATAAATAAGGGGTCGAGTACTGAACGAAATGTCACTCACAACCTCCATCACTTCTCAAAGTCGTTCTATCAATCTCAATGGCTCCAATCGGCTCTCTCTGGGGTGTTTCTTATCAACGTCAAACCAAATATGTTGGTTCTGTTTCTTGTGCAGAGTTCTATTGATTGACGCAATATTGATGCAGATATTGAGCACTGCTGCTATTGCAGGCCTCGAATTGGATGTTAAGCCTTTCGAGTTCGGCGTCACCAACAGGTCACCTGAATTTATTAGCAAATTCCCTTTTGCGAAAATTCCTGCCTTTGAGGGCGAGGATGGACTCACTCTTCTAGAGGGTGCCTCTATTGCACGCTATGGTCAGTGTTACAATAAGTTATACATGCCATTCTTACTTATTACATGATCAGTTGCATCTCTGGCCCCTGAGTCTCGGCTTCTTGGAAACAGTATCAAAGATGCTGCGCTAGTCGACCAGTGGATCCACTTTGCAGAGCACGAGATCAACATGTACAGCGACTACATATGGCAGATGGTAAAGCGTTTCTTTCCAGAGAACGCCTACAGTGAAAGCGTCAGTTGTTCTTTACATGTACAGAACTCAATTACAATGACTCACACCGGTATTTTGATTACAGGTCCATAAATCTATATTCGAACGCCAAGAGCGCTCACTCAAGTTCCTTGAACAGAACCTCAGCGTTCGCGAGTTCCTCGTCACCGATGAGATTACACTGGCGGATATCGTTTTAGCTGCCGTCATCCAACGTGCCGGCCGAGTGACCCTCGGTGCTGCTGAACGAGCAGTCTACCCGAATGTCTTTGCACACTACGCGAGGGTGGCAGGTGATCCTCGCATTAGAGATATTTTCGGGGCAGCGGAATTTGTTGAAGTGCCCTTAGCACCTAAGAAAGACGAGTAGACTATGTGTGGAAGAGAGCGTTTTGGGGGATCAAAAGACAATAATATACCTCGCTCGAAACTTCCGTGGTTTGATATACTTGTTGTAACATGAGTCTGCAAGCTGATTGTAGTTCATATTTTTTCATCAAAACTCTATCAAGGACGATTGGTACACACCTGCTAACGACCTGGCAAGTGGAACCACACCTGTGTAGTCATCGCCGCTCGTCTCGCCAATTGTCCGTCCCGATCAATCCCCGCCGCTTGAGCAGACAGTCTTATCATGAATCATGTGATAACAGGGCACAAAGAAGCAGGAAGCAGCGGCGTCAGTGTATACCTCGTGTATGCATGATGTAAAGTTCCTCTATCGTAATCATAACACTGCGAGGCGCCCAGGGATCTAACACGTCCCAAAACATCACAATCACGGTCCGAAATTCAAATGGTTGAACTTGATAACCAGATAGGCTACCCAAAAAATCCAAAGCTTAATAACATGAACGACACACACATTTAAAGAATGAAGCGAGGTTCTGATAGAAGACAGTCCCTGTATGGAAGATAGTTCCCGCATGGAACAAAGGAACCTGCATGGTGGATCAGGGTGAACTCGCCCGCAGCCTAACTGAAAATGACGAATCCTCTTTCAATTCCCAATTCGCGCAAAAACGACTTGGAGGAAGCACTGACCAACCAAACCAACACATCGAGGTCAAAACTTCCCTCCAACTCACCAGATCACGGTACAAATAATACTGGTAGGTGCCACGATTTCAGGGTCAGGGTCCAGATGTTTAACAGAGTGAAGGCACAGGTGCACGTCCTTGGCTCAAGTAGGACAAGAGAACAAAGTTCATGCTATTTACTGACGAACAAGACTGTGACAGATGGTAGGTGAGCTCTGTCATTCCAGCGTCAGAACAAGGTCGATTTATTCAAAGATCATCGTACCATGAAATAACTTGATGGCGTGGGCCAACTTAACTGAGGAACTGAGTCGTATCAGCAGGTTCTAGTTCCGCGCCGAAATACGTAGCAGGAACGTTGATATTTGCATGTTACGGATGGGTACCTGATATGATTATTAGCGGTGAGTGGTACTATAGCTTGAAGCATGCGTGTTTTACTTCGGAGAAATTTGGGGTGGAGCAACACTTAGCCTAACTGAACTTCTGCATGGGGTACAGTAGTTATGGGTATGCATGACGCGTTATCTATGATCTGCCATGCTAGAGCACGATGAGTATATTGTTCGAGGAACAGGGAGGTGGATCCGGATTATAAGAGGTGACGGAGATGGTTCGGGTTCGCTGTTGAATCGTGGGGAAGTTGTGTAGGCGGAAGATAGACTGAACGATCGAGATTATTATAAAGGCGGAACCGAGAATGTGAACCTATGTTGATTTAGTAGAATGTGTGAGCGTCGACTCAAAATCGGACAGATCAGAGATCGTGGACGAGTGAATTTGCAGGAAGCACAGGGTGCTATGTATAAAGTTATCGACCTTTGTTGATAAATAAAATAGGACATGTATGGGATCAGTATGTCCACGACCGTGCTTATGTACACTGTAAACATACATTTTGTGAATGGGTGCCCCATGGTGATTTATTGTCGTTTTCCTTGTATCTTACAGCCTGGCGCTAATAGCGAATAGGTAGGATTGGCTCTGCGCGTATGGAAGCAAGGTCTACTGCTCGATCGATTGCTTCGTCAATCTCTCCGATGAGAACACTGTGCATGAGAGTGTGAGAGCAGTATTGTAATTGAGTGATCTCACGCACATCATATCGCCTTTGACAAGGTAGAGACCTAGTTCTACTTCTTCTACACCTTCGTCGATACTATAGATCCTCTCTTTTGAATCGCTGAGGACGACATTTGACTTTTGGTCGTAACCAGCTAGGACACCGACGATGGCTCTTCCGTCTTGCAGTACCAGAAGGACTCGCCCTAAATTGTTATCATTTATTATCGAGATGAAAAAGAGGATGCTTGGACTTGCTATCGACGTAACCCTGCAAGCTTGACATTGAAGTTGCAGTAAGACGGTGTGTGGCTGTGTTTATTTCCAGGGGTCGCTTTATCCCTTTTATCTACTCGGGTCTCGTCACTTCTTTCTTCCTACTTACGACGACGCTTCTTGCTCGTTGTCATTAACGACGTCGAACCACCACACACGACGCCAATCGCGACTCCCGACAATGGAGAAACGCGAATTAGAGAAGCTTGAATCTGTCGAGCTCGAGGAAGTCCGTCAAAGCAGAGACCTTCCTTCACCTGCCACTGCACAACAAACTCGCAGTCGTGCAAAGTTCAGTGCGGCTACGATCATTCCAGTGTGGATTGCTCTTAGTAGTGGAGTCATCATCTACAACAACTACATCTACAACACTTTAAACTTTAAGTTTCCAGTCTTTTTGGTCACTTGGCATTTGACTTTTGCGGTAAGTTTTTCGTATTTTCTTATACTCACTCTACTGACACTTCAAGTAGGCTATTGGAACCCGAGTCCTTCAACGTACCACGCATCTCTTGGACGGTGCAAAGGATGTACCAGTCAGCAAAGACATGTTCTTGCGCTCCATCCTACCCATTGGTCTCCTTTTCTCTGGCAGTCTTATCCTCAGCAACACTGCTTATCTATACCTGAGCGTGGCCTATATTCAGATGCTCAAGGTTAGTCCATCCCACACTTTTGTGTTATCTTTCTCACAGTCTTGGTGTCGTTACCTTTAATAAACCTCTCCGTTTCTGTAACCTTCATTCAACCTTCATTACCACCTCATCTCCGCTTCTCCGGTACTACACACGACCCTTGTTTCATGTTATCCCTCATGCGTACTGCTTTGGGTATTTTCCGTACTGACATCTACACAGGCCTTCACCCCCGTAGCGATCCTACTCATCACATGGGCCACTCGCATTAGTGAACCTTCCCGCAAGCTACTCATCATCGTCCTCATGATCTCCTCTGGTGTCGCCGTCACAAGCAAGGGTGAAAGGTTCTTCAGTTGGATTGGGTTTGTCATTCAAGCTGGAGGAGTCGGGGTGAGCACCACTCTACTTCGAGTCCAGACACACACCTAACTAACCTTCCTCCCAGTTCGAAGCTACCCGCCTGGTCCTCATCCAAACCCTCCTCCATGGACTCAAAATGGACCCTCTCGTCTCTCTCCATCTCTACGCGCCTGTCTGTGCCCTTATCAACCTCTGTGTCATACCTTTTACCGAGGGCCTAGAGCCGCTCCGCATAGTATGGGGGAGCATCATAGGATCTTACACCCATGCCATGTCCGCAGTATCAGGCGAAGCCGCATCCAACGCTACTGTCTCAATAGTCGGTGCGTCAGGAGAGTTGCTCGCTGCCATAGGCGAAGAAGCAGCACCTCGCATTACCCCATTTTTTCTTCTTACAAACGCGCTGCTTGCGTTCTTGCTAAATATCGCTGCTGTGTTTTTGGTGGGTGCTGGGAGCGGGTTGGTGTTGACCCTTGCGGGGGTATTGAAGGATGTGTTATTGGTTACGGGAAGTGTGGTTATTTGGGGTGGGTCGGTTGGCATTTTGCAGGCTCTTGGTGTGTTTTTGTTGGATTTGATTTTGATGCTCGTCCTGTACTGATGACTCGCGCAGGATACTCGATAGCGTTGTGTGGTCTGGTGATGTTCAAGGTGTCGGGTGGGAAGTGAACAATTGATTGTTTGATACTGGACTTTGCCCTCCACTTACCGCTTATGCTCCCTCCCTTATGTGACTATATTCCCAGCACTTGGTTTTCATGACTTGCTTGAAGCGGAGTCATCCATACGCGCTCAGACGCGTCGATCTGTCTATCTTTGATCCCTTCCCCCCCCACCACCACCACCTCATGGACAATGGCAGCGGTCCTTTTGCATATTATTGCGCACTTTGTTTTTTCTGTTTGTCGTCGCATTTTGTACATTCACAGTCACTCCCTCCCCCTTTCTCTTCCTGCTACAGTTCTTTCTGGTTCACCCACGTTCCTACAGTACCCGAATTAGCCAGCGACCCTGTGACGACATTAAAAACATAGACATTTCACATGGACATGCTTATAACGCATATATAGACTAAGACTTGCGTATATCCCTCTTTCATTTCCACTTTCCCTCTACGTAACTTTTGCCGTAGCTTGACCCGGGTGTTTTACTCCTACTACTGATGGACTTGTTGCCTGTCTTTTTGTGTTTACCATTTATACTTTGCTGTTTTATGTTTTCTTCCTACCCCGCTCTCGTACCGTACGTGCTCGACCCTCCTGCTCTCCTCCAATGTGGAGGCTATGCCAAATTCCATGAACTTTTGCAGTGCTTTTGATTTTGCTACGTGTACATTCGTTTGGGTTTGGTTCCATGGAAGCAATTATCAGATTAGTCACACCGTCACTTGTTCTTTCAATTTTAGAACACCGTACGACGGCTTGCGCACTGCGTCCTGGATTTTGGGTCTCATCCTGTTCTAACCGTATATCCCATTCATCAGCTTGTACAAATTGCCTATGGTACAAGTGACTGTCGTACTCCGTCTTACGGCAGTCTCGGCAATAGTATATGCTTCCTCCCGCTTCCACCACGACGTCCTTGTACTTCTCCGCGGCGTAGTAACGAGCGTGGCTACGGGACGCTGCGTCACGCTCCCGATCTGACAGCTCGAAAGGCTTACGCAAAACAGGATTCAAAATATTAGGTCTTGGTCCGCCGGGGCGCTTGAAAAACTTGAAATAACAGCATCAGATATTCATCCAGCATCGCACACGCGCACACGGAGCAAATTTCACGGACATGAATGCATGACCGATCATCCTTTCGATCTGCCGGAGGACAACCGTTAAGACGGCGAACTCGATTCATGCTGACAAGCGGGTTGCAGTCCAGATGCATTTCATTTTGACCAGACGTGTACCGTTTTTTAGGGTACGGGAACGGACCTATGATGGCGGTACCAAGGAAACCCGGTGAGTCATATCGCTAAATTTCCACACGTCTACTACATACTTACTATCCATGCAGTGTGGGTAAATGAAACAATGTTAACGGCATGGCAAACTTAAGGGATAACGCATAAGCCGCGGAGCAAGGAGCCATCAAATTTGATGAGCTGGCGCACGAAGCTCAGGATCTCATTTTCCACGTCTTTCGGGCCATTGGGATAATGCTACCTATACCTGTGCTGATACGCTGAAAACCTGATTCTTCTACTGCTTGATGCGGCGGGCCAAATATATTTTCATCAAACCACGATTCCTTTCGGCGACGAGCTTCGGAGGTCTCATGGGGCATCCTGCAAAGGTTTAGTCGACGGGCCTCCGAACGAAAATGAAGCGAATTGAGCACCCTTAAAGATTGCAGAACAGCTATTTCTACCATTGCCATAAGGAACAATACACAGCACATGGAAACAAGTTCCTACTACAGATCGATATCCGCGCCCCATTCAGATTTATTTGATTCCGATCGCAGCGATATCCTCACAAACAGTGCGCTTCTCGCATGTCCTCGTTGTCTTTGCTGCTTTAACAGCACATGGTGACGCTGTAGCTGCCAAGGACTATGCTTTCTGGTGCACACATGATAATGACTGGCGCCTGCAAAAAGGGGAAGTGCGCGAGTGCTTAAGAGTACATCTTGAATTTAACTACATGACTTACTGGTGTGTATTAGATTGATCTCATGCGCTTGATCATGCGTTTGCTTCTGAACAAATTTTGCTTTTGCTCGAACAAGAGAAATATTTCATGGAAGAGAAAAATTGTGGGCATCTGCCGTTTCCACCAAGCAATACCATTACTATTCAGATCCACATGCTCGACATATATTTTGTCTCTCCGTTCCTCTCAAATCTCTGCTTTGGTAATTTCTTGGCTTTCGAATGTCGTGATGAGCCAGCCTTACTTATTTCATGTGTCGTGGTCCGGGTCCCAATAGTTTATAAACAGCTACACAAACGGCCAGTTCCGTGTACTAAGTTTGCCCTTCTGGTAGTGATTGTGAGTTGGTGAACGATGAACAATGAACGATGTTAAATAAAGATCATATATCACGGTATTATATCTGCCGGGAGCACCAGCTGCAAAGTGATGTAACATCTCAGAGCGATAAAAACCGATTTGCCCCACGCGAGAGGAACATCGAAAGAAGACGAGGCGAAACGGGTTGCCAGGTTGATGAGTTTTGTAGGCGGACCTTAAAGTGGTTGGAGCGGAAGTCCAGGACAATGCGGTAGCTGATAGGCTGCGATAGGTGCGATCCGGATATGGTTGTGGTGCAGGGCACGGCACATGGCGCTAGACTGTAATAATGGTATTACTAGAGTGGTGCAGCTAAGTTGGGGACCGCCTACGTGGAACACTGTTCTTTCTGTGTAGGCCAGATACTGGTCAGAATGTCAGGCAGAATGTCGAATATGTGAATCTTAGCATTCCAATTCGTGGAGTAACCCAGTTGGTGAGAGGACCAGAGAGTGGTAATGTCGGACGTTGACTCACGAGGCGAGAATTGATGGTCTTGCTACTGGAAGCGTTAGCGAGGAGAGCACCATCAAATGAAAATACTAGACCTAAGACTATCCAGGCATACCCTTCCGAAGGAGCTCCAATAGTCTTCAGCATTGACTTGTCGAACTAACAGACCGTAGTGGGGCTGTCATCAGCAATGCGGCTACTGTGTTTTTGTTTGTCTTGTTCCCAGTGCACTCACATCCAATGTTTGTGATTCGACATCCCACGCCTCAAAGGTGCCTTGAGGTGTGGGATGTCGAATCACAGACTGAGATGTCCCTGTGGTGCTCGGTTTGACTGCGAGCTTGTTCAACGAGTTTTGCGATGAGAAGAATCAGTAGAGCTGCGAGATCACATCACCGTCACGAAAGTCCAGCACGGGCTTACTTAAGCACTGCCAAAAGCGGAAGAGGCGCGTCTGATGCATCGATGGGCGAGGCTGATCGAAGAGTCCAGCGCGGGGCAGGACGCGAACGGAAAATTCTGGCGACGGTCAGAGTAGGTAGAGCAGTCGATTATGTGGCTTTGTAGAGCTGCTGAAACCTTTTGAACGGTGCAAGCGTGCTGCAGAGAGCTTTGCGATGTCTCGCCACCGTGCGGAGTGTAGCTGCCGAGCGGGATTCGAAAGGACTTGTAAATTTCTCGCCTTAGAACCAACTGTCAAATTTAAAGTCCGAACTGGCTGTAACTTACGTACATGACAATTCTCATCTCGTTGTAGTCTTTTTGTTTATAAAGTTCAAGAGCCTCAGGCCTCAGGGAGCGCTGTCAGATCTGAGCCTGTTTTTCAATTACAAATACGTGCTCTTCGGCCGCCTTCCCCGCATTGGAGTTCACAGCGATGACTGTAATGCAGATGCATACCAAGGTTGGTTTAAAACTCCGAGTGTTGAACTGACATTAATAGTATGAAAGGTCATGCATTCATAGAGGGCCCCCCATATATTATCTAGTACGTTATCAGATCGGTTTCGGATCCAGAATTTGACCGAGTTATGATACGATATACATATACAAGCTTGGGACGAACTTGGCCTGTAGCCTCGTGACTAACCTGGCATATACTACTCCGGATGCTCGAGTGGCCGTCAAAATCCCCGAATCCAAAAGACGTACGTCAGACTGATCACGAGTTAGGCCGATACGTTCGTCTTCGGACGTTACCATGATAGAGTAAGTACAGATTTATGTCAACTGTGTTTGTCATAACCATAAAATGGAACTCCGTGTCTGGAAAGAGGACTAGTGTCGACTGCGACGATGCGAAAAAAATCGGACGACTTTCGGTAGGACGATTGAACACCGTAGTGTGTCGAAGAATAAGATCTTGTGAGTTGTTTTCACCGCCGGGACCGCGGATTGCGATTATTGAACTAGATCTGTTCATATACCTGGATGGATTTAGGGCAGCGACGAGGACTCGTGCGTCCATTAAATATGGACAAATGTTTACGAATAGAGTCCAGAAGGCGTTATTCTACCATCTGTGATGCAAATTGAGAGGTGAAGGTGTCATGTGGGATTACATTCTAGTATAACATATAACTATGTAATAAGAATTCGTCGGTCTAAGCTGATCGGGCATACTTGATCAACTTCTGCATATAGAAAACCACTAGATCATTCAGGAAAGTTGTATGAAGAGAAGATGAGAGAGAAGGTTCATCAAACTGGAACAAAAGGTTTAGGAAGGACGGCTACTACGGCTAAGATAGGAGGCATTATCCTAAACGCGGAAGCTGAGTTTTTAGGACAAACAAAAGGTTATAGTATAGACGGACGGTGGCCTACGGGTCTGATAATTAATTAATCACTTACATCCATAAAACGCTAGGCAAATCGTCAAAAATAAAACAGGACAGCGTTTTTTGAGTTACAATGTCCGGTCAGATACCACGAATTATAGGTTCCCCAGGCTGTAATGTCCCATGTCGGAAGTTGAAAGTTGGACTCGGTTTCTTTTTTGGGACTGGCCTAGCGTTCTGTCAACAGCTGTAAGCATCTGGTTTTCCCACTTACACGCTAAGAACACGTTTCCAGAGTTCTGCCATGAAGTGACGAAACAGATCAATTGTTCTGCATGGTCAGGCGGAACCGGTTGTGCCGGCAGATAGGCTGACCCTAAATACGTAAGTAGCACTTCTAGCACAATCCTCGGTCGATCATGCACATGCATCATGGTGCGGGTTTCGGGTCGCTGATATGATGGCAAAAGGAAGCTCGTACTACTCGCCTTCGCAATTCAATTGAATGATTGCTCGTGACGCGTGACATGCCGTCTGCGTAGGCTGAAACTATTAGCGGCATGATCTAGCAATTGACATACATTAGCGTCTCAAAATGATAAAAGTTACGGCTGAGAATTAGCACGAGTGCTCTACTAAGTAAATCAATGACTGTGGTCCAAGACATTGGATGTTACTGCTGTGGTCACGTGTTCCGTGAACCTACTAAGCAAGGTAATTCGACCCCAGAAGTGGATCAAGTGAACTAGCCTGCATATGAATCAGCTGTCAGCATCGATGTAGCTGATGAGTAATTTCCCTGCAAGAGCCCAGTGGCACACCTCTGCCAACGGCTGTGACATTTGGTTTTCCCATTTACACGCTAAGAACACCTTCCCAGAGTTCTGCCATGCAGTGACGAAACAGATCAATTGTTCTGCATGGTGTGGCGGTCAGGCGGAACCGGTTGTGCCGGCAGATGCTGACCCTAAATACGTTGCATGCGGATTTCGGCTCGCTGATAGGATCGCAAAAGGAAAATCGTACTAACTCTCCTTCATTCAATTGAATGATTACTCGTGACGCGTGACATGCCAGTTGCGTAGGCTGAAGCTATATTCCCAGATAGCGGCGTGATCTGGCAATTGACATGTATTAGTGTGTCTCATTTGAATCAGCACTTCAAAAATGATAAAAGTTACGGCTGAGGCGTAGCACGAGCGAGTGCTCTACTGGTCCGAGACTCGACTGAAAAATAGCATGTTACTACTATGGTCACGTGTTCTATGGAAGTTACCGGTAAGTAAAAGCAGAACCTTCATGACAAGCGAGGTAATTTCGACCCCAGAAGTGGATCGAGTGAGCTAACACTTGCCTACATATGAATCAGCTGTCAGCATCGATGTAGCTGATAAATAGTTGGAAACAACCCTGCAAGGGCCCAGTGGCACACCATTGAGATTCGATGAAGGGTTGCGGGATCAACCGAAGTCCATTAGAAAGAACCAAATGAGGTTGCAAACGTCGATCGAGCCCGGGTTTCGGGTCAGCTTGCAAGCGGCCACTGGGCTAAGGTTTACAAAAATAACTTTTTTCCCACAAATTCAATTCAAAGTCTACGCACTACAGTCTGCAAACATTAGTTGATAGCTTTCGATTGGTATTTGAGCCATCGAGGGACTTGGGTACTCGAGCACCAAATAAAATATTCAGTATTACATAACTTATAAGAGAATGGTCAAAGAATAGTGGCGGTGCCAGTTTAAGCGAATAGGCGGAATCGAAGACTAAGCCTAAATGCTTACTCATCCATCAAATTAGGTAAGTATCTACGAACAGACATTGCGACTAGTAGTAGGCTAACCAACCTCAGGCAAGCCTGTCCCCGCATTCGCACACATTTCTTTCTCCATGATCCCATTAACCTTGTCAGGCAATTGCCTAATTTAACGTCTCTTCCGGCTTTGTTACAAGACTTACAGCGGCGGTGCTCACATTGCTTCATTGAACGTGGCTTCGAAGCCATAGTTATTCTTGGACAATTGATATTTTTGATTCAGTCCTTCCAATCACCAGCACCGCCCAAATTCTGTCTGGCCCGGCAGAAGAACTTCAAGCGGAAACAGACCAAAGTGTCGGACATATCGGAGATACTCAGTACCAGTGTTGAAACTCCTCGATATCATGAGGTTCCATTCGTACCTTGAAGAGTTCGATACGATGTCGAGATGTTCGGGGGTACGTACTCGATTTTTTTCCACTCTCTTGCCTCGCAATACTTCAGCAGCTATAATCTTTTTTTATACCATCGGGATACCAGTATCCCATTTCTCTTCCGTCCGAAATGCTGTATATTTACGTGGCTGATAGCAGGTGCCGGAGCCATAGAGTGTCGTAATTTTGGCCCCCGTGAGGTTCAGAACGGTAAATGAATGCATAGCTTTAGAACAACTCGGAACAATCTGCGACAGCTGTGGCTAGCCAGGCTAAGGATCGCCTTCACGGAAGGGGCGTACACATGCTCGGAATGTACCAATATCGCGATATTAGAGAGCATGAGATACAAGGGGCCCCGTTGGATGTATAAAACCAATGCATCTTGGACCAGAGACTGCAAGCTTCCGCTGCATCGTCCTTTTCAACTTGTTACTCATGGCTAGTTCAACTGTTGCCAACGCATCTTCTGTGTCCGAACCCACAACGCTACGTCAAGACGCTAATATCGAGTCGTCCACAAGCGCAGCTAGTACAATTGACATAGAACATGTCCCAGTAAACGATGACCCCCGTCAATGGAGTCCTGCCAGAAAAGTGCGTGTATCACGCGAAGCACTCTGTAACTAATCTGACGTTGTACCTGTAGACAACAACTTTGTGCATTGTATCATTGGCTACAATGGTGTCTGCATTAGCTTCTAACATCCAAAATCGTTTGTCACATGTCTTTCCACAATGAGTTGTTTGATATTGATATGTTCTTGCAGCCTCGAACTCAGCGATAGAAGCAGATCTGCATGCGACAAGCAGCCAGATTAGCTGGACACTGGCGGCTTTCCTAATCATACAGGGGAACTTTCCTCTGATATGGAGCGCCGCAAGTGAAATTAAAGGTCGTAAGGTTGGTCTAGATGCTTTCCACTTTCCGATCTGCGTAATGAAAACTCGTTTATTACAGCCTGTCTATCTGGTAGCTTCGGCTTTGTTCGTGGTAGGAAGTGTCGCGTTGGCAGTTTCAAATACCATCGAGGTGATGATCGGCATGCGAGCACTTCAAGCTGCGGGGTGAGTGTCCATCCAAAAAGCACTGAGTAGTAATTGATCATTGATTCCCTCTCCTGTAGGTCATGCGCTGCCATGGCTATTTCGGCTGCGACCCTGGCTGACATCTACGACACTCACGAGCGAGGGAGCACGATGGGTATCTTCTTTGCTGCACCTCTCTTAGGACCCGCCTTGGGCCCTATACTCGGCGGCTCGTTGTCACAAGCCTTGGGCTGGCGCGCTTGTTTCTATTTCCTGCTTGTCTGTTCAGCAGTCGTATTCTTGTCCTTCCTAATCCTGTTCAAGGATACATACCGACGCGAGCGGAGTCTCACCTATTGCTCCGCTTTACAGCGACTTCTTGCCTCCAAAGAACGCGTTCGGAGTACAAACAAATCTACCATCGTCGGGAACGAGTCTAGCAAGGACCAAACACCCGTCAAAGATGCCGAGAAGCAGCTCCAATTGCCGGATGTTCCAGATAATATCTCAGCGGTAACTTCTACACCAGGGTTGGACGACGTCAAACTATCATTCAAGGACATCAACCCCTTTCCACCATACTTTCGAATTCTGTCGCGCAAGAACAATGTTTTAATTCTCATTGCTAATGGTGAGTGAAGGGTTGTCCTCGTGTACATGATGTCAAGACTCAATTTCGCGATAGGGCTTATCTTTGGATTTAGCTACTCCCTATCTTACACGTGTTCTCTCACTCTCGCCGATAGATATGATTATGATGCGTTTAGCACTGGCTTGGTCTTGCTTTGCCTAGGCATAGGTGAGATATTCACCCCCCCCTGATTGTAGCAGATGACTAAATTCCTACGCAGGAAGTATCGCTGGGAGTGTGATTGGCGGCCGTTGGTCCGACCGAGTGCTTGCGAAGATGATGGAAGCGAATGGAGGCAAATGCTATGCAGAAGTGAATATTTTCTATACTCCCACACTAGAACTGTTTATTAACGTCTTTCGAAGATGCGTTTAGAGAGCTCGAAATTGGCGATGCTGTGGGCACCTCTGTCTGTGATAGGCTATGCTTGGGCATGCGAAAAGCATGCCGATGTTGCTGTCATTTGCGTCATGCTTGTGCTTATTGGATTCACCTCCATGTCAGTAAACTAGTCATGCGTTGTCCTGGTTGTGTTGACATGTACTTCCAGATGGATGTATACCTGTACATTGGCATACCTCGTTGATGCGAACCCCGGCCGCTCGTGCTCAGCAGTTGCTGCAAACAGTTCGTTCCGAGGATCTATGGCCTTTGTTTCAATTATGGTTGCCGTACCTCTTCAAGTGAGTTCTCTCGATATCTACTGTATCTCACAAATTCTGATGCTAGCCTGCTCTCTGTTAAGAATATTCTAGGAGATGGGGGATTGTATTCGGCATGGGCTGGCATCTTGGTTGTGACGGAACTACTGGTTATATTGGTACTGCGCAAGGGAGAATCATGGCGCAAGGAAAGCGAGGAGCATGAATTTACATGCTAAATGAATTATGAATCAGCATTTTCTACCACATTCATATGTATCATGGGATCTACAGGGGGCATGACATTTTAGTTCGGGCGATAATATCAAGCCTCAAGTATATAACTTAGGCTACATGTATTTTGGTTTACAGATTTTATATAACATAGAGGATTGCGAAGACTAGGAAAAGTGTTACGAGGCTCAAGCTCAGTAAAAACCTACACGTTAGTAGCGGTGATCACCCCCAGCCACGATCCTCGCGAGCAGATTTCACCGCAGGCTACTGCGAGATTCAGGAGATGACCGGAAATGGTCATGTTTTGGGTGTAGTGGCAAAGTTCCCACAGTCAAAAAACACGCGGTGGAGGCCTACTATGGGTGCGACTTCCCGCAGTTGTTCTAAATCTATATGTTCTCAAGTCCTCGTGCCGACGTGCCGCCGTCAAACATCAGTGTTTTACAAGTCCGCATGTCAAAAGCACCCAGTTTTAAAGTGATCTCTAGATCTAGAGACTAGTAGAAGGGGGGGACTACCCAAATGGTGTTCAAAACATTCAAAACACCTACTACTAGTAAACGAGCCTTTCAAACTCGGTGAGTACGTTGTAACCATCGCTTACATGCGCTTTGACACCTCAACGCTGTACATTAGAATCTAGGTACAATTGGTCTGCAGTTTGGAAAGCATTTCTACGTCGCGACGAGTTGCGAGACTATACTCCAACTTCAAGGTTTGAATCAAAAGCTTATGCTACGGGAAGTCACCCATTGGTGATGCATTGGCGATACACCAGCCTGAGGTGCATATGCCTCTACTCAGGTATGGCAGTTGTACTGACGATGCATCACAGGTCCGTTACAATTGGCCTGTTCGAGCATTAATATGACAGGAGCCTGTGCCCCTGTGGCCTTTCTGTGTCGCTTCTGTAACACCGTGTCTAGCCTTATATGCACTCTGTACAGACTCGAGAGAACCCCTCCTGTGGCTCTGTACAGGGCTGTCAAGGGGCGTACAGTCCACCCCTATTCTGCTGATGTGACATACGTCAGACTAAGTCTAGGGTCTAGCAGGTATAATGCCGGCGGCCGCTGTCGTGTACAAGCCTCCTGGTTGTTCCGAGTTAACTTCATATTTAAACTCTGTTATAGGATACTATGCATACCCCATCCATCGCTCAATTGGTCCCCATTGTCCATGTCC